ATCTCCCTCACACTTTTCATTTTCGTCTGACGACGGGTTGGTGTAACCGACTTGAAAATTCACGAGTATACCTCGATTTTCCGACGAGCCTTCTCCTTTTATTATATCGCCTCGGAATGCATACTACCTCCATTATTCATATATATATATATATATGCATCAGCGGACCGCGTATTTCCTGCCTTGTTTTTGCTTCATTTACCACCGAGGCATCGCCACGGTGAATCTGATCTGAACCCACTGTTGTCTATATATCCGCACTCAAAAATTTCACAATCCTTCTATTCATAGATGAGACGTTCATGAAGCGTGCCGCATTAGTCCTCCTCACCCTTCAAAATGTCTCTACTGTCCTGCTTTCGCGCTACATCCGGTCTCGACCAGGTGACATGTTTATCTCATCCACCGCGGTTGCGATGAGCGAGCTGGTAAAGCTGATCGTGTGTCTCATCATAATCCTCGCCCAAGAGGGGTTCAGCCTGCGCGGATTTGCTCAAAACCTTCATTCTAATATTTTCTCGGACTGTCGTGACAATTTACTCATCGGTGTACCGGGTATTCTGTACGCCGTGCAGAACAATCTCCTCTTCCTGAGTGTGTCACACTTAAATGCTAGTGTCTTTCAGGTGGGTCTCTACCAAGCTCCCTCTTTTAACTGCTATCACATTGTCGCGAACCCACTTTTCTCCTCCTCCTCCTCCTCCTCCTCCTCCTCCAACTCATGGTTCTGAACTCCTGCGGATAGGATAGCGTTCACTTCCGCGGGCGAGCGTTTTCCTAAACCGCTTCGTTCAGCCATTTTGCGGATTCGGCAGTCGCATTTATTGTCAAGGCGGCGCTATCTCGGCAAACACTGCTTACTCTCCTGCCAGCGGAAGGACTAAAAAATGCGGCTCCAAAATGTATGATTCTTTACGCCTAGATGGTTGACCGTGTCTGGTGAAAGTAACGTATGTTGTTAGAAAACCGTAGGCAGAGACAACACCCTTCCCCATCAGCCAGAACTGTTTGTCAGTATAGGGGTTCATAATCGACCATTCTGCATTGGCGCCGACACGGGTGCTCGTAGACGAAATAAACAAAAACAACTCTTCATATTGACTCAAGTGTGAAAAACTTGGCACCTCGGCGGAATTCGAACCCACGCAGTAAGGGGAAGGCTTTAGTACAGCCAACGCTGTCACCACCTGAGCTACAAAGCCCCGCCGGACGACGCGAGTTTGATCCCATTTGGGTCAAGATACCCGGCCAACCTACAGCAACGTCTGGAATCCACCAAATCTGATACAGTAAGTTGACTGCCACGGCAGGATTTCCGAAGTAATTCACCCAGAATCCACCAGATGACTACCAGGCTCACGTGATTCATATGTGTTTTTGGCAGATTTAATATAATTCACGTTGCTCTAACTGTGGAGGGTATCAGACTTTGCGGGAAGTTGGACGGGTAAACTTGACCCAAACGTGATTAAACTCGCGTCGTCCGGCGGGCCTCGTAGCTGAAGTGGTTAGAGCGTTGGCCGTACGAAAGCATTCCCCTTACTGCGTTGGTTCGAATCCCACCGGGGCGCCGAGTTTTTCACAGTTGGGTCAATATGAATTATTCAAAATCTGCCAACATATTTATG